TTTTGCCCAGGATAGGCCTGGTCCTGAAGGTAGGACAGGAGTTTGGAGACGGGCCTTCATGCCATGGACTGTGGGTGGAGAATGTGCAGTTATTTATTTTGTGTACTCAATTTGTAAATGTATCCTCTGTACTCAATAAACAGGCTGCCCTCCTCAGGGAAGGCTGCCCATTCCAACAGCCCGGCTCCTTTCTGTGGACCAAGGGGTCACCCAGGAGGAGGGACGGGGGGGCCCAGTCTGGGAAAATCCTGATCTCTCAACACTTGCCATGCCGAGAGACCACGTGGGGATACACCTCTCCCCACCCCAGCCAGGAGGACAGACGAGATAACACAAGAGAACAGAGTTTGGGGTCTTTATTGGATTAAAGGGAAGTGGCTTGTGGGTAGGCTCAGTTTTGGGCTGTGACCTGGTTGATCCAGGTGCTGAACTTGCTCACCCGAGTATACATGGCAGGTGCGCGCACATTGCAGTTGCTGGTGCCCCAGGAGACAATGCCTGTAAGCACCCATGTGTTCCCCTTCTGGCAGACAAGAGGGCCTCCGGAGTCACCCTGAGGGAAGGAGAGGGGAGAAGTCAGCATAGGAGGTGAGGGGGGGTGGGGTGGTGTCAAAGGACAGTGCAGAGGACAGGACGGTGCTAGTGCTCACCTGACATGAGGAGGCCCCTGAGCCACCTGCACAGATCATGGAGTCGGTGATACGTGAGCCCCAATACTGCTGGCACTGTCTCACAGTGACCAGGGGCAAGGCCACCTGCTGCAGGCGTGCGGGGGTCACATTGCCTGTGTGCCAGGAAGGGGTGGTTAGGCCCTAAGTGACTTGTCCCCACTCTAGCTCTCCCACCCAGATCTTTGGCCCAAGTTCCTACCTGTGCCACTGAGGCGGCCCCAGCCAGTGGTAACACACGTGATGCCTGTAGGCAACGCCTCATTTGGGGAAGCCAGGCAAACTGGTGAGATGCGTGCTGTGTACTTGGCTGGGGAGGCAAGCTTCAGTAGTGTCAGGTCATTGTTGAAGGTGGTGGGGTTCCAATATGGATGTGTGATGGCCTGTGGAGCCAGAAAGGGCCATATAGGATGGGGTGACCACAGGCCCCCAGAGTTGATGGGTGCTGAGGGGGCTAGGCCAGGGAAGGCCCTGAATTCTTCATCCCCAGAGCCCACCCACCTGTACTGATCACTCTTCCTTCCCAAGTCTGCAACCCAGGGACTCACCCGCGAGATGGACATAACTTGCAAAGGCTCAGAGTTGGATGATCGGTCGTACTCGCCCAGGACAACAACATGACGGTCAGGGCTGCAGTGAGAGTGGGGTTAAGCAGCCACAGGGAGGGCAAAGCAATAAGAGAGGGGCGTCTAGAGGAAGGAAGTGGGGAGAGGTGGGTTGGGGTGGGGTGGAAGCACTCACCTGACATTGCAGTGGGCAGCAGTGACCACCCAGGACGGGCTGATAAGGGAACCACCGCAGAAGTGGAAGCCGTTCTTATCCTGGGGCCAGGGATCAGAAATGGGAGGGGAACTCAGGTTTTGCCTAGGCATGAAGCACCTGGGATCCTGTCCCACCCCCAGGGTGCATGTACCTGCAGGGACACCTGCCAGGGCCAGGAGCCTGGCACTGCATTCTCCCCGTTGACAATTCTCTGGTTGAAGTTCAGTGCCGGTCTGATGGAAGGAATGCCACAGCCTGGCGATTGGGTTGGTGAGGATCTGTTTTCTACACCCCACCCACCTCTCTCCCATCCTCCTTCCAGATGCCCTCAGCTTTGCACCCCAGAGGGGTCCAAATCCAAAGGACTCATCACTTTCCCTTTTCACCCTGAGCTCCTTTTGGGCCCCTGCACATTTCCAGTCATTCCCACCCAACCAGTCCCCAAGTGCTGTCCACTCTCCATTTCCCCAACCTACTCCCCACCGTTCCCCAATTCCATCCCCACCCTCCAGCCCAGGCCACATGTCTTCTTGACCCCTAGGATAATATCCTGGCCTCTCTACCCACTCCATGCTCCATGCAGCCAGAAGGTTCTTCCTAAACTACAATCCATCCTTCACTCCTCAGCTCCCTACACCTTCCCTAGCTCCTGGGCCTGGACTGAACTCCTGTCCACCTCTTGCTTCCTCATGGTCTTGGCACATCCTTTTTCCTTTACCCTCTCTGTCCACCTGCCTGCCTTCCAGCCAGCCTGGCCCCCTGGGCAGGAAGCCTGAGCTGGTGCTGGAATCCGGGGCTGGTCCAGGCCTACTCACCCCATGAGGAGCTGAGCAGGGTCAGGGTAAGGGTCAGACTGAGCAGCAGCATTGTGGCAGGCGTGAGGCTGAGATGGGCCTGGCTTTATGGATCTCCTTGTCCTTGGGCTACAGTCCCAGGCATGAGGCCAGGCCAGCTGTATGGGCACAGCCCTGTCCCACGCTCTCTTCTGGAGCAAGGTCTCTCTGGGCCAAGGTCCTCAGTCCAGGCCTGGACTTATCAGAAGGAGCCCAGATGTGGGTTTCAAACCCCCTCAATCCCCTAAAACCTGGCCTCTGGTTGACTATCTGAACCACTTCACATCCCCAGTGCTGAGCACTGGGGCCTAAGGAGTTACGGTTAAATTAGGTCTATGGTGACCACCGGGTGGCCTGGATCGGGTGGCCTGGATCAGGGCCGTTTCCCAGGCCTATCACGGCACCAGACTCAGAGAAGCCTGCTCAGCACCCAGGAGTGTTCCTCACTGGTGGAGGGAATGTCCAGCTGTACCAGCAGAGAGCCAGGGTCATGTGGCCAGGACAGGGGTTCTAGCAAGTTGTGAATCATTCCTCATTTTAGAGCAGGAATCAGTTTGCTTACACAGATGGTGACTCTCCCACTAGCACATGCTGTGGTTGGACCCAAACCTTCATCTGTCTGGCTCTGAAGACCACACTCTTTTTTTCTTTTAATCTTTACCCGTGGATGTTTTTTCCATGATTTTTTTGAGAGAGTGGAATAGAGAGGGAGAGACAGAAACACCGATGTGAGAGAGACATTGATTGGTTGCCTACTGCATGCCCCTAACCAGGGCTGGGAGCCAGCAACCGAGGTATGTGCTCTTGACCGGAATCGAACCCAGGACCCTTCAGTCAGCAGGCCAACGCTCTATCCACTGAGCCAAACTTGCTAGGGCTGAAGACCACACTCTCAATGATGAGATGATGCCTGGGAAGGGACTGGAGCAAAGGAGGGCAAGGTGTGCACTCTTGGTGACTGACCAACCTTGTACAGAGGATGCTGGTAGAAGGGTAACAGTCATTAAATCTCTGACAACCTCCATGCCTTGGGGATCATGTGAGCAAGCCCTGGTGTCTACAGCCTGTTTGTTGTCCAGTTTGAACCAAGAGAGAGGAGAGGCCCCTATGTGCAAAGCTGCAGTGGGTAAGTTGGCTGGTCTCTTAGGGGGTGTGAGGGTTTTGACTATTCAAGAGAACAGTTTATTTTTTTTAATATATTTTATTGATTTTTTACAGAGAGGAAGGGAGAGAGATAGTTAGAAACATCGATGAGAGAGAGACATCAATCAGCTGCCTTCTGCACATCTCCTACTGGGGATGTGCCCGCAACCCAGGTACATGCCCTTGACCAGAATCGAACTTGGGACCTTTCAGTCAACAGGTCGAAACTCTTTCCACTGAGCCAAACCGGTTTCAGCAAGAGAACAGTTTAAAATGTGAGTTAATGGTTAAACATGGGGATGGATGGATAGATATGTGGTAAAGATAAAATATTAATTGTAAAGTATGTGGTGGATATATAGTTGTTAGTGTACAATTCTTCAAGTTTTATGTCTTAAAATATTCATAATAAAATGTTGGGGCGGGGGAGCACAATCAGGGGTCCATAGATGTCCAGCCTAGAGTGGACCCTCTCCAAGTGGTAAGGCAGTTGCAAAGCTCCAATGGAGCTCAGCCATTCTGAGGGCAGGATGCTGCTACCAGCACTCAGCACCTGGGCCTAGCACACAGTGGGTGCTCTGCAAAGATTTGTTGGATAAATGTGTCATATGTCCCCACAAGAGCACTGTAACCCCTGTCAGCCCAGAAACTTGGAGTCAGTGTCCCTACTCACAACCCAACTTCATGTAAGCACCTCAGATGTGCCTGGCTTTGGAGGGGTTTCACAGCTAAAGGTATAACGGGGTGAGGAGTGCTCTGTGAGAACTTGCCCATGGAATCAGGGAGCAGCTCTATCAGCACTTTATTTTTTTCATTATATATATTAATTTCAGAGAGGAAGGGAGAGGGAGAGACAGACAGAAACATCAATGATGGGAGAGACTCACTGATCAGCCACCTTCTGCATGCCCCCTACTGAGGATCGACCCCGCAACCCCTCAGTCCACAGGCCAATGCTCTATCCACTGAGCCAACCGGCTAGGGCCTCTATCAGCACTTTTGCCCTCAGTGGCATCCGGTGGGGAAGGGGGCTTGACTGAGAGATGTAGGCTTTGTCCTGGGCTACCAGGCTCTAAGTGAGGGCAGTACTTGGGGACTTTTGGGTTTTACAACAGTCCCTAATGGACTACAGGGTAAGAGCAAGGTGTAGGAGTGGTAGGCGGACATCTATGGTGTGGAGTCAGGGTGGGGCTTTCCACCTTGAGGTTTTTTTTCCCCAGAGAGGTAGGGAGAGGGAGAGAAATAGAAACATCAATGATGAGAGAGAATCACTGATTGGCTGCCTTCTGCACACTCCCTACTGAGGATTGAGACCGGGTATGTGCCCTTGACCAGACTTGAACCCGGGACCCTTCAGTCCACAGGCTGACACTCTATCCACTGAGCCAAACCAGCCAGGGCTCCACCTTGAGTCTTCAATGCTTGCCAGAGCTGAGGTTCTGGAGGAGGGTAGATGCCTAGGGTGATGAGTTGAAAGACACCTCTTAGACCAGACACTGGAGCCGTAGGAGGGAGTGGCTCCTGCAGGGATACCTTAGCCACAGATCCCTGCTAGCTGCTCGTACCCTCTGCCCAAGAACAACACAGCCATCTGTTCAGGTGTATTTTCCGCGTTTATTCCCTGTTGTTCCAAGCTCTAAGCTTCAGCTTACTTCACTCCACTTCCATGGTCTGCACGGTTTCCTCCACCAGCTCCAGGGGCAGTGGCTTCACTGTCTCGGACAGGACAGCTGTGGTCCCAGGGGCAAAGTGGTACTGGGTGTGCCTGGGATGGAGGAGAAATGGCCTCTCAATATAGGCCCATCATGTGGCCTGTCCTCTTGCAGCCCCCAACCTTCCCTGCTACAGCCCATCCTCCCCCGTGGTCCCACATCTCCCTTGCTCCCACCTCTCTATGGGCTTTGTGGGTGAGCTCAGTGTTCGCAGCATCTTGGCGCCGGTTCCCGTGATCACACATGCATCCACACTGCCCCCGGAGCCCAGGTCACCCAGGATTCCTGCAGTGATGGCTTCCACCAGCAGCCCCTGCGCGGCCTCCAGCTGTGAGGATGTGTGTGTGAGGTCTGATGGACTCTTCTGGCATTGCCCGCAGGCTACAGCCTGGGGGCTTTGTTAATGGTGAAGCCCAGACTGCTTATCCTTTGCTAACACCCAAACTCCTCTCTCCCCCTCTACCCCATCTCCACTCCAAACTCCCCTTCCCTGGTCTGCTTCTCTCTCCCCCTCCTGTTCCCACTGCCCACTGTCCCCATCTTCACAAACTTCTCTGAGCACTTTCCTGGCTCTGATTCCAGTGGCCTATCCACCCAATCAACATGTCTTAGCCCCCAATCCACCGGATCTTTCTCTTTCTGGGTCTTACCTCATCCACTTCCATCCCACCCCTAACAAAATGCAGACTCCAGACCCCACCTGCCACTTCCTCCCTCAGCTCCAGTCCTCTCCGAGCTTTGACTTCTCCCGGCAGCCTAACACTTTGGCCCTGACGGTGGTCTGTTGGAAAACAGCACTCCTCTACCCTCACTCCACTGGTCCCCTCGGTCTCCTTTCAGTCGCCGCCTCCTCTGAGAAGCCTTCCCTGACCTCTAGACCAGCCAGGGTCCCTCTGCACTCCCCCAGCTCCCGGGTGCACTTCTCACCCATGACCACGTAGTGGGGGTCAGGTGTCGCTCACCGTCATGTTCGGCTGGAACCGGTCCTCCAGCACCGCCAGGGCCGCGTCCTGGCCGGAGCCTGCAGGCAGAAGGGGCATCTAAGGTAAGCCGGCCGCCCAATGCAGGGCAAACGGGTCCCAGAGGCGGGGGGGCGTGGGGACCCGCAGAACCGCTCACCCAGGGCCGTGAAGGGCAGACGGCTGTAGGAGCCGTGGGGGTGCACGCTGTAGAGCTGCGGTCCGGTCACGTCTACGCCGCCCACGACCAGCGACGCACCGATGTGGCCCTGGTACCTTGGCGCGGAGTGGGCGTGGTCATTCGCAGGCACTGGGACTCAGGCCCCACTCTCTACACGCCTCCTGACCCGAGCCCCGCCTCTTCCGGCGATCGGGCGTCTCTGACTGACAGCGCTCCTTCCCTTGCCCAACTCCTCAGGCTGGCCTCTTCCGGTAGCCCGGGACCTCGCAGCCCCGCCCCCTCCCGCAACGGCCCCTCCCCAGGCCCATCTTAGCCCCGCCCTCTGCACCGGAAAAGCTTCTGGCGCAGAAAGCGGGTAACCGTGGCCGGGGGACAGGATGGAAACTAGGGGTGCGGTTCTTGTGTGGTAGAACGGGGCTGGGGGTTCTCACTAGATTTTGGGCGTGATGAAGTGGATCTTCTCGCAGTTCTTGTCCGCCACGACCGAATCGTTAGTGGCCCGCGTGTCCGCGCCCAGGATGACCCCGTCCTGGGGAGGGGAAAGGAGGCTGTTGGCCGAGGGCCTGCGCAGGACAGGATGGAAACTAGGGGTGCGGTTCTTGTGTGGTAGAACGGGGCTGGGGGTTCTCACTAGATTTTGGGCGTGATGAAGTGGATCTTCTCGCAGTTCTTGTCCGCCACGACCGAATCGTTAGTGGCCCGCGTGTCCGCGCCCAGGATGACCCCGTCCTGGGGAGGGGAAAGGAGGCTGTTGGCCGAGGGCCTGCGCATCCCCGCCCGCCTGGCTAAGCCTCCCGGCCCCAACCCCACGCTCACTCGGAACACAAGGCCCGCGATGGTGGTCCCGGTCTTGCGGGCATGAGGGGCCCGCAGTTCCGGGAGGGCGCGTTCCAAGGCTGCGTTTCTGGAAAGGGAAGAGAGTGGCCCATGTTTCGGTTTTTCTGGGACCCCCTTCATACCCCCAACTCCGTCCCGGGTGCCCTCAGCTCCCGGGTAAGCCCGGGAATCCAAGCCTCCCACCACTGGCTATCTTCCTCTCACGTGCTCCCACCCCGGTACCCTCCGCCCTTCGCCACCAGGAATACAGGGCCCTCGGGGCTCCCACGACCTGACGGGAAGTGCAGGCAGGGCCGGACCAGCCACCCCCCACCTCACCTCTGGCAGTTCTCAAAGGAGAAGCCCCCTCGGGGTTCTAGCTCTGTTTGCAGCATCGTAGGATGGTCAGGGACTGGGTGGTCGCTGGTGAAAGGATTGGGCCCAGCCGGGAGCAAGAAAAGCAGAGGCCTGTTCTCTGCAGGGCTCCGCGTCTGACGCTTCCTGCTTTCGCTTTCACCTTTACTTAGAGGACGCTGGCCTGTCGTGCATCTCTTTCACTTTCACCTCTGGTCCCAAGCAGCTTGGGAAGAGGATGATGCACCTTGCCCGGCTCTCCAGGCTGCTCCTAGGTCCTCCGAACAAAGGGACAAACCCCTTCCTTCTGGCCATTGTTCAGCTCCTCCCCTTCCAGTCTGAGCCCCTAGTTCTGCCTCTGATCCCAACTCTAACTTCAGGTCCCCGCACGTTAAGGCTGTTGGACCCTTTGCCAGGTCTCTGTCTGCCTTATCACAGGCCTCCCAGCAGCATCAGGCATGGCCTTTTGTCCTTAGTTACCCTCCTTTACCCAACTTCTGCCTGTCTTTTACTCCTTTGCCTTCTGCTTGTCTTTTGTTCCTGTTTCCTACCCGGACACCTCAACATGGAGGCTCAATCATGCTGGTCCTTTCATCTTCCTTATCTCAGGTGCTGTCTTTCCTCTCTCAAGAGGGGCCTGGTGGTTGTCCATCTAGTGGCTTGGCAGCATGCCATGGCCAAGCCTTATTTCACCTCCCAGATGACCCTTTGTCTATGCACATCTTTCACCTAACTACTGCCTTAGTCTCAGCAAGCATCCTGTCTCCTGGCTACTGCACTCACTGGCCTCCCTGGCTTCCCCATACTTCCTGGCCCACCTTCCCCTGCGGCTCTACCCTGCATAGAAGGAATCTGGTACACTCTCGCTGATTAAAGCAAGTGCACACTGCTCTTAGGTTCAAACCCAAGTCTTTTCAGTGGCCCATGTTACCCTTCTCAGACTACTTGCCTCCATTAATAATTCAATCTTCATTAGCTAAATGATCTGATTAGTGGCTGTCACTCCTCCAGAATCTAATCTTTTGTACTTCTGCCACCCACCTGCACTCAAAAGGTCCTGTCTTGCCCTAACCAGTTTGGCTCAGTGGATAGAGCGTCGACCTGCGGACTCAAGGGTCCCAGGTTCGATTCCGGTCAAGGGCAGGTACCTTGGTTGCAGGCACATCCCCAGTAGGGGGTGTGCAGGAGGCGGCTGATCCATGTTTCTCTCTCATCGATGTTTCTAACTCTCTATCCCTCTCCCTTAGAAATCAATAAAATATATTTTTTAAAAAAAGGTCCTGCCTAGAGGTGGGGTCTTGCCTCCCCTTTTGAAAGCTGGGAGGAACAGCTCAGATCTTACCCATCCTAAAACCTTGACTCCATGTGCCCCCATCCCACAGCTGTGTGTGCAGCTGACCTGTCTCCATGCCCAGAGCAGAAGCAGGCACAGAGACAGGCTGCCTGAAGAGCTCAAGCAGGCGAGCGGGAAGCTGTACATCTCAGGATGGCTAGTTCAATTCTAGGTTTTAGCCAAGCTCCTCTTGCCCTATTCTCCACAAGGCACCAGGCCTGCAGCTGCTGATAATGAATCCTGGTGTGTGAACCCTAGTCTCCTTCTCAACCCACAACAAACATCTCAAGGCTTACAGCAGCAAAGGATGATCTTTATTCAGGGGGCGGGGTCCCTGAGCTGGCAGCTGTGGGTACAGAGGTGCTATGTCGGTAGGTACCCAGCAGGATGGCATTGATGTGCTCTAGTGTCTGATTGCTGAAGACCATGTTGAGGTGGTCTGTCCCGTTCAGAGGCAGCAGGTGCACAGGCTGTGGCTGGAGGCCCTTCCATTGGGCACAGAGCTCACTGCTGCGTGTGGCCACAGTGTCATCGCCATCCTCATGGAGCATGCTCACGGGGTCTGTGTAGGGGAAGCCATGGTCAAAGATGTAGGTATGGGGCGTGGGCAGACCCACGCCATACAGACAATACACTTCTACACCAGGTGCTGGGAGTCCTGCCAGCAGGCTACGTGACTGTAGCCACATGTACCAGCCGTCTTCAAAGTACAGGTCTTCAAAGAAGCGCTGGAAGTCACGGCCTGTGTAGTTGAAGCTGGGTGTGGAAATGAACACATGGTCCTCAGGCCATACCCGGTAGTCGGGAAACATCCAGGGGGACGTTGTTGTTATGCGCTGCTTCTGTTTCAGCCTGATGCTGGACATTATCGGGATGCCCTGGTTGTCTCCTGTGGACATGGAGCAAGGTGGGCAGGGAGCCAGAAATGGCTGCCCCTGGCCTACATCTTGCTGCCCAGCTCAAGCTCAGCTGGATGCTCATTTTTTTCCCAGCCTAATCTAAACATTGACCCCAAGCCAGACTAGAGCAAGGCTAGCAGCATTCAGAAGGTACTTAATGTGTGCTTATCCTATATAGTAAAAGGCTAATATTAATATGCAAACAGGCTGAATAACTGAACTGGTTGCTATGATGTGTGCTGACCACCAGGGGGCATGCATGGAACATGGGAGGGGGGAAGGGGCGAGGTGGGAGGGGCGGAGGATGCACTGAGACCTGCCCCTGTGCCCACCACAGCCTCGCAGTTCAGGGTTCCTTTCAAGGTGCATGAATTCGCGCACTGGGCCCTAATTAAATAAGCCCGGATACTGCTGTGAGGCAGAGCTGTAGGGCCTCAAAGGAGGACAGGGAGTGTTTTCCTGAGGATGGATGTGTATGTGTCAAAGGTGGGGGATAATGCTGGCAGTTCTCAGTCAAGTATCTGTTGGCCCTGTAGTCTATGCTGCACAGGGGTCAGGAAGGATGACACAAGACCATGTCTGTATTTGACACTAACTAATGTAGTTTGAAGAGGGTTTTCCTTCCTTCCCCTACAGGGAAGACTGAGTTTGGATGGGCCCAGCAGACAGTGGGTGTACAACAGGTGGTAGCTACGCCACTCCCCAGGGAAGGGCAGGAGGGGCTCCTAGGGTCTGGCCCTGGCTTTGGCAAATCTGTCTTCAGTAGGGCATATCCCTGGGCAAAGGAGCTCCTGGAAGCAGAGGCAGCGGAAAGCTGGGTGGGTAGGACCTGAGACTACAGGAACAAACCTGGGATAGTGAGCCAGACTTGCTTGGGTTCATTTTCTGTTAAACTCTCACTTTCTCATCACTAAGACAGATTTTGGCAGGAGCCACTCTAATGGTCCAGGCCAGGATCACTACTCTTGGGGGGCCAATGACAAGGGCCATGCCCCATGGGTGGTAGACCACACCCCCAACCTGACATTGTGAGCACAGGCCCCCGGTCAGTTTTTATTCCATCCCTCAATCCCACCACAGGATGCAGGTGAACTCACCTGAGGCCAAGACCAGCATGGGCTTGATGGAGCCACCCCAGGGAGCCCCAAGAGAGATGAAGCCATCAATGAAGCGATCCTTCCAAGACTGGGGTTGGCGCAGCAAGAAATAGAGCAGGTGCAGGCAGCCAAGACTGTGCCCAATGAGGAAGACAGGCTTTCCATAAGTAGCATACATCTCTTCCACCAGCCCAGAGAGCTTCTGGTGGTACTCCTCCTGCTGGTCTGTGGAGGGGGGAGGGTGAATTCTGTCAGGGCAGTGGGCGTTAGGGGCCACCGGCCCTGCCACGAGCCCATCATCTGCAGAGACACTCACTGGGCTCCAGGCGCCAGTCATAGGGGGCAGCCCGCACTGTCTCATCCCGCACGTAGCCATTGTTGACCAGATTCTGCACCAGGGTGTTCATGTAACCTGTGGGGGAGGCAGCAGCACTGGGGCTCTGGCCATGGCTCCTACAGCCTCACCGCAGCCTGGAGCCCCACCCTTTTCCCCTGCCACACACCTGCCAGCTTGTTTTTGTCCAGGTACTCAACAGCGTAGGTCTTGCCAAAGCCAGGGACACGGATCTGTACACCGGGGGCATTGGACACACGCCCAGAGCTGCGGTTGTAGACAACCCTGCGGACAATGGGAGAGTCAGCAGGTCAGCAACCAAGAGGCAGGGTGAGGGGGCTGGGATGGGGCAGAGAGGATGGCCCGTACCTGGTGTTATCGATCCAGCAGTCCACTCCAAGGGGTAGGAACATAGTGATATCCAGAAAGATGGTGAAGAAGTCCTCTGTTTTGCGGTAGCACATCATGTTCACCACATCTGGTTTATCCAGTTTGGCTTCCAGCTGATTCCCCAGGCAGCCAGGCACTGCGGGCACTAGCCTTCACTCTGGGTTCCTCGGATTTCCCCCGTGATTCCCATCCCAGCCTCACACCCACCCTCCACCACTGCAGGGACCAGCCTACATTTCCCACACCCTCAACTCCCAGGGACGAAGGACACAACCCTCTTTGTAATCATTCTCCCACCTATCCCCCCAGCAGTGCAAAGGCCAGGCTCCCCTTAGGCAGGGAAAGGGCAGAGGCCAGGGCCACTGACTTCTGCCCTCGCAAAGCAAACACCTAGCCTGGCTTTCCATTACTGCTGAAGTCCAAGGTGAGAACAAATAGGTATGGGGATGTGGGGGCTGGGCCTGGGAATAGGGGGACAGGCCTTGATGGATCTTTCCTGCTCTCCTGAGCTGAGCATCTTGTCCTTGCTGGGGTGAGGGCTGAGGAAGGAGCGGTGGGGCTTAGCCCAAGGTCCAATGGCTGCAGCTAATACCCTGGCCAAGCCCTCAGGCACACCCCCCCTCCCCCACTCCACCCAGCTGGGGTAGATAACTTAGAGACACAGGAACAGTGTGGTGGAGGGAAGGGGTTGACTTCTCTGCAGGTCAAGCCTTTGGCCCCTCTGACCCCTGAGGTAGGTATCAGGGCTAATACAAGGGCAGAGGGCCTTGGCAGGGTTGACTACCTGGGGCTGAGGCCCGGGCTCCCCAAGGTCTGGCCTGGTGCATCAGGGGCCTGGTGGGGGCTTACCGAGGATGATGGGCCGTGTGTGGTTACTGAGCTCAGCCTTGGGCGTGGTTTGCGGGGGGAACAGCACATTGAGGAGCCAGAAGGAGGCGGCAGGGGGGAATAGCAGCCACAGCAGCAGCACCCACTGCCATGGGGAACCAGGCAGCCCCATTCCAGCCCTAGTGCCTACTGCCCAGTGAAGCAGTCTTGGGCTGGCCTTAACTGGAGTGGCGGTGGGAGGGGCCCCGGGGCCAGTGGGAGGGACAGTCTAGCCAATGACTATGGCCAGAGGTTGTGGGGAAAGGGGCACAGCCTTGGAGCTGGAGCAGGCTCTGGGCCTGGGTTCAGTTCCGCCTTTTTCCCTTGGCGCCAGGGGAAACA